CTTTTTTTTTGCTCAACTAGTTCATACACATTTCTTGCTCTTCCCAATTTTTATTCTTTTTGTAGCCATTGTTAGTAAATCGAATCTTAAAGTGTGATGGCTTTGGCTTTTTGAAAAGTATTAATACTTCTTTTTTGGTTATAGCAACTAAACCTCTGACACTATGAACAATCTTACTTGGGTCTTTTGATTATTTTTTAGTAGTAACAAAATTATCCCAGCTACAAGTAATAATTAAACCTTTCCCCCTTTACTATTTGTATTATATTTCTTGTTTACACCAAGAAAAGAACTCTGAAGTTTAAGGTAGAGTGTGATGATAAAGGAGGCAGTTATACCTATAGTATGGTTGCAGTATACAGTTCATTTTCTTTTTAGGCATAGCCTAATTTTTTTTTTTTTACCATGTCCTTTTAAAAGTTTACATCTTAAGATATTTTGAGTGCCAGTAGTCCTGAATTATCTCTGATGGTTGGTTTCTGTGTGGTACATTTGATTTTCAGCCACTCTGATCTTTCAAGGATTTATTCTCTGACTTATAAGTTAGCCTTAGGCAGTGGGGGTTGGGGGGAGCAACTATTTCTGCAGTATCTGCATTTAATTTTCATGAATGTAGAAACAAAGTTGGTACAAAACCAAGTGATTTCAAACCTGTGGTTAGTAAGATAAATTTTTCACAGCTCCCCTCCCATTCAGTAATCAACACACAGTAACTCACAATTCTCATCAAAAAGAATTGATTTTGAAAGCTTGGCTTTATTTCCAAAATAAGATACATTATACATTTAAACTTATTTGTTTTAAAAATCCTTAGAAAAGTACCTATAAAATAAGTGCTTAGTTCTAAGGGGTATTATAGACCAGAAAATGATTTGCTAACACAGCTTAGTTTTCTAGAATGTGTTATTTTGGTTTTGCAAGCTAACTTTCAAGTTTTGTTTATGGAAAGTTTCTGTGACCTTTCTACCTGAATGAGCAGTGTAGACTGCTTGAGACATTGAGACTTTGTCCCCGCAGGAGTGAATTTCCGAAAGCTTTTAGTTGGGCTGCACTGCCTTGTTTAAATAACCAAACACCTGCTAGCAAGCCCTGCCATTGTGAGTGGCTGTGCATATTCCTTCCTTTAGGATTTGCAGGGCTGGAGCACAAAGACAGCGATTGTTACCAAATAAGCCTTAGTCACACACTTCTACCAATCGCCTTAGGAGGATGGTTACCATGGAATCCACCATCTGTTCACTCCCCGCTGCTGGAATGTGATTATCCTTGCTGGGCTGGGAAGTTGGGGTTAGCAGGAGAGTCTGTGTGGTGTGAGATTATCTGCAATGGACTGGGCTACTGGGAGGCTCCATTTGGCTCACTAGAAGAACAAATGAAGGCAGTTGTACTTCAGCCATTTGTGACTTTTAACCACAAGGATAAATCAGCTTTTCTCGGGTAAGTAACCCTGGCACTTTGTATCCAGTTTGTACTACATTTAGTATGTAAGAAGGAAAAGAAGCCCTAGGCTCTTCAGTAAGTAACCTCTAGCTTGCACACTTGTCTTTTATTCATTTTAGACCGTTAGTAATGCCGGTATCATTATATGTTGATGTTGGAAAAGGAAAAAATTATCCTTTAATGTTTAAAAATATATCCTGCCTGTGAAAGTATAGTATGACCCTTGAAAAGTGGAAAGTAGACAGTTATTTTAAATGGTTTCTGTGATGAACTGCACCAGTGTTCTTGCTGAAATTGCCCATGGCCACAGCATGTTCAATGTCTGTTCTTATTTGAGAAATAACTCTGGTCTAGAACATTTGTAGATTAATGCTCTAATTAGCACTTGTTCTGGACCACATTTTTTAAAATGTAATGCTTATGTAGTTTATTTTTGCAGTGCTTTTGTCCAAGTTTCAAGGGCCTGAGCATGTGGAAACAATGTGGCAGTGTGTAGACAGACGGAGGCTCAGACAAGATAAAGAAAGGTGAAACTAGGAAAATGGCTTGCATTTCAAGAGCTTCCTTTGTTATTTTGTTTGTCTCCACAGCCCTTAAAATGTGTGCTGCATATTGTGAACAGCAGAAGAAAATTTTAGTTTCTTTAACAAATGGATGACTGACATTTTTCCATGTGGCTAAGAGGTTGGTAGCTCAAACAAGGGACTTCTATGTCCTTTGTAAAGCAGCATTGTATTTCCTTCCCCAAACTGTGTCCTAAAATATGAAAGTGAAAAACAAAAACAGTACGGACTGTATATTCTTGACTCTTCTTTTGTGTAAGTTTTTCTGTCATTTAAACCACAGCACCAATACTCACTGGTCTGCCATTTTATTTGCTATAGGAAAGATGGCAAGGGAATGCTTTTCTTGTGCACTTCCGTCCTTCTGATTGTGCTGTTTGTTATCCTCTTGGGTAGTCATGTTAAAGGGCCAGTGGCTGCCTAGAGAGCCAGAAAGAATCATTACAAATAGACCCTATGCTTTATTTTTTTTTAACATGGTGTAAAATTAGATAACCTTGTATTGGTCAAGGACTCATGTTCATATCTCAATAGTAGGTTTTCAAGCCTATTTTTGTGGATTCCTGTTATTAGCTATAGTTGACTTTACAATTCTGTCTTTTATAGTTGCATTATTATTAAGCTTTTTAAAATATGCAAATTAATCTAGGTACATACTACCTCTAAGAAACAGCTTTCAACAATAACAGATGTCTACCTGAAATTCCCTAATATTTATATAAAATTTCCAGCTGATCTATCTTGTATTATTAGGAAAATAAATTTTACCCATCAAAATCAACCATTTGTTTAAAGTCATCATATTTTGGATGTTCTTGTTGCTTTAATTACTTTGTATCTTACAAATATTAAACAGCTTTTGAGTGAATGGGTATGAAATGTGTTCGTCCATGTGCCTGGATGTAGTTACTTAGGCCGCAGAGATGAGCAAGAAAAATCTGTGTGCTTCACCAGTGCTTTTGTGAATGTGCTTATTGTTTTCTACAGTTACTAAGTTAAAGTGGCAAGATGATGTTTTTAAAGAATGTGTGTTAGAATAGATAATCCCAGCATTTTATAGATATTGACAGGTAACTACTCATTTTTATTTAAAATCATTTAAGATGCCCCTTGTTCATGTTTTTAGCATAGCTACTAATAAAACCTACAAGGTTTTTTAATATTATGTGACCAAAATCTTTGAGAAGAAGTTTCATTCAGAAAGGAAAAGAAAAAAGTGGCCTAATTCAATATAAAAGAGTCTAAGTGCCCAGCTAACTCACCTGGTAGAGCATGAATGAGACTCGTAAAAATCTAAGATAGATTTGGGCTAATTGAAAGATGACTCCTCTCTAAATGATTTAAGAATAAGCCTTCATTCTTTATTCTCTAAATGATTTAAGAATAAGCCTTTATTATTTATGCCTTTTTCATGGAATTTTTATTTTGCCTCATGTGAATAACAACATAACTAATGTCTTTTCCTTGAAAATATCTATATGTGGGGACTTTAAGAAATAAATATTACATTGAAAAAATGTTTCCAATATCTTTGTTAGGTCAACCACTGGCAAACTTGGCAGTTCTTGAGGGTGACCTTTACTCAGATTAGTCAAAAGGAGCAGGCAACAGGGCCAGTCCACACAGAGTCAGTCAATGGAGAACCTGTGATTCCTAATCCAGGTACCCAATACCCAAGAACAAGGATGCATAGTCCTGTGGCTGTGGTTCCTTTCAGGGCTGTGGGTTTTAGAACCTGGGGAGATGTCTGCTTCCTTTCAAATCAGCAGCAGTAGTGACACCCAGCATTGGGTGCATGGTCTCTTTCCATGAGGATTGAGAATGCGCAAATTCTCAGGCCTGCTGAGAGCATTGTTTTTGGTTTTCCCCATCTTTCCTGTGTGGGAGGTGCTAGATTTCAGTGTTTTCTGAGCCCTTTGCTTACTCTTCTACCTCTAAGGGCTTTTCAGTTCTTCAATTCAACTTAAGGAACCTTGTGTGTTTTCTGTTGGTAAATATGTAAAATGAACTGTTCAGAATTATTTCTTGTAAAAGGAATATACAGGAAAAAAATAGAAAACTAAATTAAATGCTTAGAGTGATTTAAATCATCAGCCATCAGGACAGCTAATCAACTCACCATGAGTTCACTATGATCATATTGTCTCCTTTTTTATTGAATATTTTGTGGATTTCATACAATATATTTTGATTGTATTTAGATCCCTTATCTGCACCCTCCCCCCTTCCTACCACCATTCCCAATTTCATCTACTCATTTTTTATGTCAAATTTTGTGTCCCCAAACGTCCTTCAATGTGGGTCCATGCAGTGGAGCCTGGTTAACCTATCAAGAATCACACCCTTTAAAGAGACTGATCTCCCCTTCCCAGCAGCCATCAGCTTCCAGTAATTCCTCAAGTAGGATTGGGGTTTCTTACCCACTTCCCCACATCTATGATGAGATTTTGTATGGCTTGAGCATACATGGTATTTGTGCATGCTGTCATCATTGCTATGAGTTCATATGAGTAACTTCCCACATGTCTGGAAAACTGTTTTCCCATGGCCATCCACCACTTCTGGCTCTTACACTCTTTCTGCCTCTTCTTCTGTAATGATCCCTGAGCCTTTGGAATCAGATCTTTGATATAGGTGTCCAATTCATTGATAACTTCTCTTCAGTTTTTTATTCTTTGTACATTGTTCAGTTTTGGGTTTCTGTGTTAATCACCATCTGCTGGATAAGGAAGCTTCTCTGGTAAGAGTTGAGAGATGCCTTTATCTGTGGATATAACAATAAGTCATTAGGAGTCACTTAATACTATATTTAGCTTGTTTAGCCATAGATTCCTAGACCTGATAGCAATGTCATTTATGGACTACATCTTATGAAGTGGACCTTAAATCCAATTAGAAAGTGATTTATCACTCCCATAATACAGGCCAGTTGTTAAAATATGCAGGATTGAGCCAGGCATGGTGGCACACACCTTTAATCCCAACACTCAGGAGGCAGAGGCAGGCAGATCTCTGTGAGTTCAAGGCCAGCCTGGTCTACATAGTGAGTTCCAGGACAGCTGGGGCTACAGGGAGACGCTGTCTCAAAAAAAACAAAAAAAAAAAAAAAAAAAAGCAGGATTTATACCTGGATAAGGTTAATGAATAATTAACCAGGCCAGTTTTTTAAAATATGCAGGATTCATAGCTGGATAAGGTTAATGATTAACCTTTTTCTTTTGGTAGCATGTGTACCACTATGAAAGTTAGCCAGGAGAGATAAAGCTTTGAGGTCAGTACTAGCTTGATTTCTCCTTGTTTTTTCTATGGTTCATATATGTAGTGTCTTTAGCAATAGGGTCTTATCATCAAGTTCTGGTGGGTAACCAGAAGCAGGGACAGTGGCCAGTATTGTTGGTTTATTAAGGGTCTGTGGGATCCCTGTATGTAATTTTAGAAGCTTCCATAGTAGCAGATTTCCATGTGGCTTTTTCTAAAGGCCTTTAGGGTTAGTTATCCCTCCCTATACTCCCTCTTCTGCCCTGCCCTCCCATTCCCTACCCCAGATAATCCTTACTATTCTATTCCCTTTATATCACTGCACTGTGTATCTCCTCCCATGAAGCCACCCCATCCCCGACCCCTAGCCCTTGGCCATTTATTTATTTCCTGTTCATAGTCATATCTTTTTGATACTTCGTTTTGACATATTGAAATGCTGTCTGACCTTACATATTCAGACAGATGAACATCATGGAACTAATCAGCAGTGGTTAATTTCATATATTTTTGTTATCTCATTATACTTAACTTCTGAAATGAATCCTTTTCCCTTAGAATGCAGATTTCAAGTTCCTTTGGGATCACTGCCTGGGATGATGAGCTAGTAGGGGTTTTGGTAAAGTGTAAAATCAGTTATATATTACCATTGCTAGTAAATGCTGCCATGCTCACAGGTCCTGAGGGCTGTCTGCTAGCTTTTTTCCATGGCTGTTGAAAGTAGATACACTGAAATTTGCTCTCTCTTGCAATATCCCACATTTCTGTGTTGACATAATTGCAAGCAATGATTAGATTGAACTTAATTGTGTGCAGCAGCAAATATTTTCATTGCTGTGTTAGATGGAAAGCCTGTTACTGTTACACATGCATGTGAAAGATGCAAACTCACACAGAAACTGTAGAGCAGAGCTTGCTGCATTGAGAGAGGGGCTCCTCAGCCATTGACTCCTGTACTGGCAGCTGTTTCTCCTGGGTTGTCCTCTTACATTTTTATAACTTACTTCTGTGCTTCTCTAGCACAAGAAAACAAACTTTCCTTAAATTTTCAGGAAGTATGTGTAGGCTGCAGTGGCTGGAGCAGCTCATAGGCAGCTTCTCCTGTTCTCCATCATCATCGCTGTAACCTCAACAGAGTGTGATGGAATTTGAGGGTATCTGGCAACACCTTATTCTTAAAGTTCTCTCTTTACCAATAACTCCCACTATGGTGTGGGGCTAATTGCTCTTTTGTAACTGACTTCCACTGTATTTCTTTCCTTCTTTCCTTTTCTTCCTCTTTGCCTAAATCTGTTTTTTTAAACCAATTTCCTTCAACTCAGATTAATGAAATAATGAGATGTAATATATTCACATAGGCAGTCAGACTAAATTTGTGGTATTTTTCAGTTTCTATTATATGCCTCTAAATGTTTGCTTTCACATTTGTATAGAGACCCCAATCTAAACAGAATCATCTGGTTTTTAACCTAATTTTAGAGAAGAATTTGAGGCCCATAAAGATGAAGCAGTTATCTAACTTCACATAACCTATGAAATGGCTTGTATTGAGCACAAAGACAAGAGCAAAGTCAACTGACTGTATTGGCCTAATATAGAGCCAACATGGGGGTTGGTCACCTTAAAATCTTACAGGCAGAATTTTCAGTAAGTGTGTAGAGAGAACATAGGTCTGACAGATAATTTCTTCAATTACCAAATTCATAAGAAACAGATTATAAATGCCTCACCTTTTGAAAAACCTTAACTGTCAAATGGACCCTGAGTAGTTTGCATGTTATCTTCCTTACAGCTATCTTTATATGCAAAGTAAAATGATGATAATCTTGCTGATAACTCTTGAGTATTGGGTAGGGAGTAAAG